GCTCAGAATCACACCATCAGTATATATCAGGGGCAGGACTTGAACACAGAACTTGGCGATTCCAAAGCCAAACTAGATTCTCCACTGTGCCATATTACCTCTCTTTTCTTCTGCACCAGCAGCCCAGTAGGTGTTCAAAGAAACACTAGAGCTCCGTTTGTTAAATTTGCAAGGACTATCTCTAAACATATACCTACTCCTTTCCCAGTCTTGGAAGGAAGGAAGGAAGGAGAAAGAAAGAAAGAAGAGAGAAAGTAAAAGAGGCATTCTCCTAAGAACCTAGGTCTCCCTGTGAGCTCTATTACCTATGAAATCTGTAGTAGGTTCTCTGAACATTGTCATAGGTTGTAATGGGCCAGGAAAGAAAACAAGGAAAATACTGATGTATAGTATATTCTCTGTGAGATGATGATTAACCTCTCTGTATTTCATGATGAAGGCCCCTGAAGACTTCTTGTTCTGATGAGGAAATTGTTTCCAGGTTTCTTGGCCTGGGGAACAGGGCCCTGACTATTTCAGGGCTAACAGGGCCTTCCCTCAGAACACTTTTGCCAGATTGTTTTGGTTACCTTCCCAATTGCACCCCATCCATCCAGGCCCCTTCAGGGGCATACATCACTTTGCCTCTCTACTTGGGGAGCCAAGTATGTCACCTTTCCATTCAGAATTGCTTTCCAAGGCCACCTAATTAACACCAAGGGGAACTACAAGGGGAAAAGCACCTGAATTAGGTAATAGGCTATCGCTTCTCTCCCGGTACTTTGCAGTAAGTTAAGACCAGTACCTGAGGGACTCTGTTCCTTGCTGACTCATTGCATAGTGATGTTAGTCTGTGGTTTATGAAATGTTATTTTGAAGAGAAAAACTACCCACTAACCTAGTAGAGGCAAAGTAAAGGACATTGGTCGGAGCCCTCCAAAAATCAGCAGGTTGATGGAGGGACATGAGCAGCAACAACCGGAAGGGAAGCACTGTTTTTGAGTCTTTTCACCCTCTAAAACCCAGAGATGACCCTGGTTAGTTTCTACAAAGTAGCTTGAAACCCCCTAAATCACCAAGATTAAGGAAATGAGCAACAGAAAGGGGAAAAAATCAGTGATTTCCTTGACCTTTTCCCCTACTTTCTTGGAAGAGAGAAAAAGGAATAAAAAGGAGAAGGAAGGAAAGAAAAGAAAGAGAAAAATGGGAGGAAGGAAAGGAGAAAAGGGAAGAAAGAAAGAAAGAAAGAAAGAAAGAAAGAAAGAAAGAAAGAAAGAAAGAAAGAAAGAAAGAAAGAGAAAAAAAAGGAAGGAAGGAAGAGAAAACAAACCCACTAAAAGGTTTTTCCAGTAGGTTGCATAGCAGTTAACAAGGGCTCCCATGCTCATGGGTGTGTTCTGTTCTAGAGATGAAACATGACTAGGCTAGCTTCCTGAATATTTGTATACAAAGAGTGTGACTTCAGCAAGGATGCCATTTCAGAGGGACAGATTGAGACTTAAAGTCACAAGTACATTTGAAAATTCCAAATGCATTTACAAGAATGTCACCTCTCATGGGGAGTTGCAGATGTATGTGACATATTTGTTTGTGAATTTATTGATAGATCTTTCATCACCTGCCCTCTCTAGCTGGTAAAAAGATAGGCAGCTAGTGTATCTCGACGATTGCTTCGTTTCCATCTTTGCTGTCTGTTTTATGAAACTTTATACTGCCAAGACAGTGTTGTATCCATTTAAATTAATTTTTTTCTCTCCCTCCCCCCACATAAATAAGACAACTTGTGGCCAGGGCCTTGTCACTGTAGCTTTTTTTAAAGAATTATGCTTTTGTCTTTTGTTTTGCATCGCTCGTATTTCCCAATATTTTTCTTTTCCTGCTTCCTCCCCCATGCCAGAGAGCCATCCTTTAAAACAAAAAATTAAAAAGGGGGAAAAATACTTCAGCAAAACTAACCAGGATATTAACCCAAGCTTTCGTCCTATGCAGAATCCCACATCTGTAATCCCTCCTTCCCTCTTCTGTACCTTCTCCACAGTGAAGGAAGGAATGCATCCACATAACTCTTCAGGGGGGCCAAGCTTACTTGTTATCATTTCTTACGCTGCTGTTCTTTCCATTTATGCTGTTGTAGTCAAAGTGTAACATTATTTTCCTGATTCTACTTTATGTGTCAGCCATTCATGTAAGTCTTCTAATGTTTCTCTGAAGTCTTCATATCCACGTCTTGTGGTGCAGGAATATTCCATTACATCATTGTTTAGCCATTCCTTCTATCAGTGACCATCTACTTTGTTTCTCGTTCTTTGCTACTATGAAAAGCTCTTAGGGCGGCAACTTTTGTTGCTCAGTTCTGTACAAACATATGCTTTCTTGTCTCATCAGTTCATATGAGTGGCCACTTTAAATCTAAATCAGACTGTGCTTTGTGTCTATTCAGATCCATTCTCAAGTATCTTCTCTCTGAGAGGAATGTGGGAGGCAGAAATGTTAACTTGCTGATCAGGTTGTTTTAATGGGGAACTTGTTTTGCTCTGTGTGTGTGTGTGTGTGTGTGTGTGTGTGTGTATACACATGTTTTTCTTTTGATTTTTGATGATTTAAGAATCAAATTTATGGGACTTTCTGCTTAGATGTTAATTAATCTTCCATTCTGTAAGAAGTTTAAATTCCCCCACCAATGCAAACTAAATTAACACTTACTAAAGGTGGCAGTTTCTAGCCCACCTGGTAATGAAGAGTTAATGAAAAAGTTGGGCAGCCCTGTGAAAAAAGCATGACTCCAGGTTTCAGAATGTTTAAGGAGGAGGAGACTAAGAATTCTTTTTTTTTAATTTTGGGTAGTTTTTATTTTTTAAAAGAATTTATTTATTTTTAGTTTTCAACATTCACTTCCATAAGATTTTGAGTTTTAAATTTTCTCCCCCTCTCTGCCCTTCCCCTTCCCAAAGATGGTGTGCAATCTGATACAGGCTCAACTTATGCATTCATATTAAGCATGTTTTCATATTAGTCATGATGTAAAGAAGAATTAGAACTGATGGGAGGAACCACAAGAATGAAACAATAAAACAAAACAACAAAAGAAAAGGAGCAAATAGTATGCTTCCATATGAATTCAACTCCATAGTTCTTTCTCTGCATGTGGATATCATTTTCCATTGTGAGTCATTTGGAGTTGTCTTAGGTCCTTGCATTGCTGAGAAGAGCCAAGTCTATCCAAGTCAGTCATCTCACAGTGTGACTGTTACTGTATATAATTTTCTCCTGGTTCTGCTCATTTCACTCAGCGTCAGTTCATATAAATCTTTCCAGGTTTTTCTGAAGTCCTCCTGGAGGACTCTGTGAGTTCTAAGGCAGCATAGGACAGTGGGAAAAGCACTGATTCTGGAGTCTAGACCCTGTGTTCAAATTAGTTCCAACATATGATACCGAGGAAGGTGTGTTAGATTTACAGTGAGACAATCTAGGTGTGAATCCTGGCTTAGCCACTTCCTAGCTGTGTGACTTTGGACAGTTCCCTTAATGCCTAGTTCCTCATCTCTAAAATGGGAGGGTTAAATTAAATGGCCTGGCCTCTAAGGGCCCTTCCATCTCCAAATCTGTGATTCCATGAATCTGCCTCAGATGCTTACAATCCATGGCATATTAAGCAAATCACACAAGCCCTTCCCTGGTCTCATTTTCCTCACCTATAAAATAGGGGGAGGGAGATTTGGACTCAGATGGTCCTATGATGTAGGCCTGGAGTTATATCTAACAGAAAGGCCTTGAAGGCTGTGTCTTGGTCCTTAAGCCCAGTCAGGAGAGCGGGTCACACCTAAGTAAGCCTTGGTTTGCCAGCCCTTGATCAGTTTCTTCATGGAGTGTGATTACAGTAGTACAGACTGTGATTTGAGGAAGGTGGGAGGCAGAGCACATGCCAAGCTCTCTCTCAAGCCAGGACTATAATTATAATAGCTAATGTATGTGTACACACATATGTATATAATTATACATATATGTACATGTGTATAAATTTACATTTACATATATAATAAATATAGAATATATAATAAACATATCTCTTGCTCTGTGTGTGTGTGTGTGTGTGTGTGTTTAGGGAGCTGGGTGACACGGTAGAGAGAGTGACGGGCCTAAAGTCCAGAAGACTCATCTTCCTGGGTTCAAATCTCACCTCAGACACTTACTAGCTGTGTGACCCCTGGGCAAGTCACTTTACCCTGTTTGCCTCAGTTTCCTCATCTGTAAAATGAGCTAGAGGAGGAAATGGCAAGCCATTCCAGTATCTTTGCCAAGAAAACCCCCAGTGGGATCATAAAGAGTTGGATACAACTGAACATCATATCTTTCTTTATATGTGTATGTGTATATATGTTTATATACATATAGTGCTTTAAGGAGCTACATATATATCATTTGATCTACACAACAACCCTGAAAAATAGGTGCTGTTAGTATCATGAGAATGCTAAATGGTGAAATTGAGGCAGAGCGATTAAGTATCTTGTCCTCTGTGATCTAAGCTACCCTCCTTTTCCAATGGGACTTTTAACTGAAGGGAAAAAAAAGCTTGTGGAAAGGAATATTAGAATTCATCCTTCCTATGTTTTAGCCAAAGGACTCCGCTTCCAGACATTTGCCTTTCTTTGTATTCTAACTGCTTATTTTACTTACGTTCCTATGTTTGGGGACATTTTGGGGGGAGGAAAAACAAATATCCTATGAAGAATCTTTGAGTGTTATTACTCCTGTAGTGGAAATGAAAAATTCAAATCACAAGTATCTGTTAAATGCTCAGTCTTGTGCTTTACCTTCCTGGGACTCATTTTCCTCACCTGTAAAATCTGTCATTGCACTGAGAATATAAAGATTTTAAAAAAAAAAAAAAAGGAGGAAATAGTCCCCACCCTCCAGGCATTATACAAAGTTAAATGCAAAACAGTTTCTGGAATTGAGCGAGTACCACAGTGTGGGTTAAATGTCCTAATCATCTTGCTTTCCTTCTTTTTCTCCTTCAGACCCTCAAACTGACACCAGATCTAAAGAGGAGGAAATAAAAAACCCTTTGCCAAATCTGCTCTCAGCAAGTGGACAATGACACCGTTTACAGCTTATTGACCTTTGTGAATCAATCCTGCATCCTTCTCCTAATCAAGCCAAGACTGTTAATGGCCCCTCATTCCCCCCCCCCCAGCAAAGCTCCTATCAAACTCGAGAACGTATGCAAAATCTTCCCTGTACAGGATGATGGAGCACTTTCCATGGACACCGCACCCAACGCCTCTGCGCCATCTTGTCAAGACACACTGTGTGCCCTCTAACAGTAGTTCCCTGCCGATGCTCATGTGGTGTTATCATATAGCAGTGGTTTAGGGGTTGTTTTAAGTTTTGGTTTTGTATTTGTTTTCTTGCTTTTCTCACTCCTGTGCCCATGCAGTGGTTTTTTGTTGTTGTTGCTGTTGTTTATTTTTTCTGTTGACTAGACTCACCTACCCTTTCTTTCCCTGGCAAGTTGAAAACTTTGGAAGGAAGCAAACACTTGCCAGTTACGTTCCTGCTTCAGGAGTCCCAGACATTGGGTCCCTCTGACTCTATAGACTGACAAGTCGCATAATCTAAAGAACATTTTCTTTCGTGTTTTGTCTGATAGAAAACTATTCTCTTCTTAAGAAAACTGTTCTCTTCTTAGAAACCTAACAATGGCACAATCATTTTCCAAAAACAAGATATAGCACAGGAGAAATGAAGAACAATGCATCCTATACAGTGTTTTGTTTTGCTTTTTAAAATTCTGAACAAGAAGATTCTTTTGGAGGGTCCACCAAAGAGACCCAGAAGCTGATTTGCTGTTGTCTAAATCAGGATGGCCTGTGGTTTTTATGGACTGTTCCCCATTCAGTGTACTGGACCATCTGTTTATTGGTTGAAATAGCTATTTTAAGGAGAGAAATAATATGAGATGCCCATTCATTGCCAAATGCCACTCGGAAATTCCCCCCCCCTTTTTTTTTCTTTGGAGGAAAGCAGGGGGAAAAGTAGTTCTGTTCTGCATTGAAAGTGAGATAAGGCTTTCACAAGTATATGTCAGGCCTAAAGTAGATAACCTATGTGAAAAGTGCAGACCAGACTTATGGGGGACTTTGGATCTTTCATATTTGTTTGAATACCTTTCCTTGAGCTTGGATTATATTTGAACAAATGAAACAGAGATGAAAGGCCATTTTAAACTTTTTGTTTTGTTTTTCCGGCTTTTCCAGATTTGGGTTGTTTTTTCTTTTTCTTTTTTTAAGTTACTGGTGCTGTATAGGTGCTTTCTGTTTAACCTGGAAAGTGTGATTCTTTTTGTTAGTTTCTTTGGTAGGGAGTTGAGTTGGGTGTTCCATTGGGACAGGAAGAATCTGGTAAGAAGCAGCTCCAATTACTCTAGTATTGAATCACTTGTCCAACATGCTCTCTGAAGACTTTTTTTTTCCCACTTTGGATAAAATCATTATGCATATAAATGTATAAATATATTTTATTATGTAGAGTACAGAAATGAATAATTATGCATGGGTGGTAAGAATACAAACCTGTATTCCATCCCAAAGTTTCAGTCAAAAGTTCTCACTGATAGTGGTCCCATGCAACATGTCACAACTTCCTTCCATGACACATGAAACACACACGTGCACCTGCCGCTATCTATCGAGCCCCTTTTTTGTTCCTTTGCGTTATCTTGGGGGCCGATGTTGGTAGAAGTTACACCTGGTGTGTTGGGCATTCCATTTGGTCTCTTAATGCCCTCTCTCACCCCAACTCTGCCATGCCTGTATTGTCCTTTTTGAGTGATGACCCTGTTTATTTCATCATGTTTCACAGAATTTGTATATGCTTCTGTGGTTGTGGTTATGGTAGACCAACCTGGACGTACCAGTTTTTTGAACAACTTAAGATCTTATCCTTTTCAGTGCGAAAGGTAGTAGTAAGTGTGTTCAGATTGGTCAGTTTGTCTGTGGCAGGAACTTGCTTCCTATATTCCTTTACCATAATGAGAGTTTAAAAATTGTACAAATAAGACACCTGTCAAATATTGCTTGCTAGTCCTCTCTGAAAAGCAAAAGGACTGCCTGGTCAGGCACTGGTGAAAGAGAAATACCTCTCTCAATCTTCATTCCTCTATCCTGAAAGGAGAAGCTAGCCAAGTGGGCCAGAGAGGAGGAACGCACTGTTTTGTTACTTGGTCAGATGGCCTACGTGGAAACCAGCTGGTGGTAGGGAGCTGTTAGGCTATACGAGAGTCCAGGCTGCTCCAGCTAGAGAGCCTAGAGATTGCAATTCAGCTCCTGAGTTATAAGGAAGTTGTTTTCTCTTTGTTGCTCTAGACCCCAAGAGTTGCTTGGGGGTGGGAGAGGGCAGGAAGTAGGTCAGAAAAAGTACTAACAGTGTTCCAACTGAAAAAAAAATGGCACAGACTTCCCTTCAGTTATATAGTATCTCTTTCATTCTCTACTTTTCTCGCATTAGATAGGTTTTAATCTGAAACTATCTTGAGAAATGTTTTGAACCCAGATTAGAATTTAATCTAAGACAACTGAGTGCAAGAAAGCACAGGATCAGGGAGCTACAAAACTGAACAGGAAGTCTTTTTTTCCCCCTTATTGAACGACTCAGTGAAACAACAGTTTAAGGATGGGTGAGAAATTCTAAGGGACTGAATCCCTGAGCCATGCAGGAGGGCTGCAAGAGGGGCAAGGAAGGTCTGATCCTTTCTGGTTCTTGACCTAGAATTGTTACAGTCTTCCCCTTTATCCACCCACCAGCTTGAAGTCTCTCTGTTCCGTACTATATCTCCAGCAGAATGGAGCGTTGGGAGCTGAGGCTGAAGCTGAAAGGCCAAAGAAGCAAGATCCGTGCTAGAGTTGTAGCCATGCCTCTGTTAACCTGAGCTGGGTAGAGGTGCCGCTTGTGGCTTTTCTACAGATTAGGTTTAAAGGATCGTCTGGAAGTACCATGACTGATTTCTGTGCGCACCCTCCTCTCTCTGGCTGTTTTCAGATCTAGGACGCTAAATAGAAAATCTGCAGTTCCCATAGCTGATTTCATCACTAGCATCAGCTAACCAAATTGCAGCCCTTCCTAACCCTCCCTTCTCTACCCTCACCCCTTAGCGTAATATGGGGAGGGCTGCCATTTTTTTTTTATAAGGAAACCAGAAGAGTAACTGTTTCTGATTAGACATGTACTCTGGGGAACTGTTCCCCTCCGAGACTCCAGGCCCAAACACCTTTTACCAAAGTTAGAAAACAGCTTTATCACAAGCTTTCCCTGTTATGTACTTAAGTGCAGAATATGCATTGCCCTTTTCAGGTTCAGGTATATCCTTAGCTGTGAATGAATCTGAAGTTGTTTTTCTTTTTTCTTTTTTTCTCTCATCTACCATAATGTTATTTTTTTTACTTAAAAAAAATCTCCTGTTAATCAGAGGAGGATGTTTGATATAGTACAAAGCGGGCTTTGTGGTATTGTGTGTGTGTGTGTATGTATGTGTGTGTGTGAGTGTGTGTTGATTTTAACAAACACGTCTACTGCCTCCCCTCCCTGAGGATGAAGCTCATGGTGGCTTTCGCTACTACCAGCAGATAGTTCCCATTCATAGGGGTAAGATTTCAAGTTAGTTAATGATTTGTGTTCATTGGACTAGGGATGATGAGGACAGGTTTATCTCCTGCCTGGTGGATCTCTCTCTTTTTTTTAATGGTCGTCATTTGGGTTTCTTCAAGATGCAACCAGGACCAAAGTAGTACCACAGCCACTTAATTATTCCCCACAGGAATGTAAGGGATTCCATGGGGATGGGCAAGGAAAAGGAAAAAGCAGTAGAGAAATTCAAGCCTTCAGGCTTTCCTCAACCAAAATCAAAATTTCTGCCTTTAAAAAAAAAGTCTCTTTTCATATTTTCGCCCTGATTAAGGAAAACTAATCTTTCCAATACTAAAATTCACTGATTCTATTTTCTCTTGGAATATTTTGAGAATATATGATTAAGTATGATTTTGTTTTTCATTAAGAAAATCAGTTATGGGGAGATAATCATTGGCCAAGAGGTACGAAGTTCAGCAGCATCTCTGGGGAAAGGGGGAAAAAGGAAAAAGACTAATTTTCCTGAAATCATGTCCATCAAATAAGATCTTGTAGCAGATACACAAGTTATTAAAGAGTTTTAGTGTTAATATTTAATACATAAGCGCTAAGCATCTAAAGTGGTAACATTTATGCGATTTGAACGATTGTGTATTTTATTTAATTTTATTTGTGATTTTTTTCTTTTGTGAACGATTGGTTATAAGGCTTCTGCCTAACTCCAGAAATATTTGTACCATTGCTTTAAAAAGCTATATGTTAGGACATTTATTTCTCTAAAATTATGTTATTGCTTGGCAATCAGTCTTCTCTCATATAATTGTCTTAGTACATCATGTGCATTGGAAATGTAAACAGATGTGGAGGACCAGATAAATTAGTTAATATTTGAAAAAACAATGTATTGTGCATTTTGGCTTCACATGTTAAACTTTTTTTTTCAGAAAAAAAAAAGTTGCATGAATGGAAAAAAAGTATCTGTATACAGTATCTGTAAAATTGTCTTCTCTGTTTTAGTTTCTTGCTGATAACCTGTACAAACTAGAATGATGCTAAACCCCTGTCTTTGGTGCATGGCCACAGTCAAAACACCTAAGAGCTAAGAGGCTCCTACTTTGCTTTGGTAGTGCCTCGTCCTTTCTTTTAGAGTCAACACTATCCATTTGCATTCTCACTGAGGATCTCGTCAAACCGTGTGTTGCCATGGATTGACTAACCGACTATATACCCTCTCTCCAGGAGGATCAAACTATTTTTGATTTGAGAATCTTTCCAAATGAAATAGAGATGCTGTGCTTATTTTCCTCAGTGTTTATCTGTAGATATCACCTTGTGTATTCCATTTTCGATTGTAATCTAGTTTGTAAAAGAGATGGTGACCGCATGTAAATAAAGCATAATGACTCTCTACCCTGCTCCAAGAAAGTGTGGTATTCTCCGATTCCCTCCCCCTCCACTTCATTCCCCCTTCTGTAACAGAATCCCTGAGATTCACCCGTTAGAGGACAATAGAGGTAGAGAGCTGCCTCTATCCAAAAAAGGTTCATTCAATTGAGAATACCCAGCTGGGAACAGAGTGACTGTAAACCTTCCTCTTAGAGTGCCAAAGATCTGGTTTTGCTCCTTCTTGCGAGACACTGGACAGGTCGTTTATCCTCAGTTTCTCATCTGTAAAATAACACCTTCAGGAACACCCGGACAGCTTAGCAAAACCAAAATAGTCTGTCCAGGGGACCCGAGGTCTGTATGTTGCTTATGACTCCTAAGTGAAGGTTCTATTATACCAGCATTGAAGTCGAGGAGACCTGTAGAACTTCTTTGCTGTTGGGGGCCTTTGACCTTTTCACATGGAGACCTTTCTCAGGCAGGTGAGTCCCGAAGAAAGAAACATCAGGCATACACAGTCTCCTGCAAGTCAAACACGGAAACTCTCAAGTTATGGTAGGAACAGAATCAATATTTCCCATATGTATATGTTGGGTTTGGGGCGTCTCCTGTTAACTTAGCTGCTGCTGAACTCCGCCCTGTTGTAAAACTATTCTTAGTAGTCTGATTCAGGATTCTTTTTTGTTTGCTTATTGTTTTTAAATAGCTAGATCCTTTAGGAAAAGTCTCGCTTCTTTTTTTCCTAGCTTCTAGAAATCCCCCAGGTTAGGTTTCTATTTAATCTAAAGCATTGGCCTAAGTATTCTACAGAATCACACAGACTTAGAACTGGACCGGGGAAACTAAAGGTCATCTGGTCCAACTCCTCTATTTTACAGATGAGAAGCTGAGGGTAAATAACCTGTCCAGTGTTTCACAAGAAAGAGCAAAACCAGGATTTGAAGCCAGATGATAATAACTACCATTTCTATCACACTTGAAGATTTGCAAAGCACTTTACAAATATCTCATTTGATCCTCATATCCACTCTGTGCGGCAGAGACTATTATTTTCTTTTTTTGCAGGTGAGGAAACTGAGGCATAGCAGATAAGTGATTTGCCGGGTGTCACACAACAAAGAAGTGGTCAAGGCAGGATTTGAGCCCAGGCCTTCCCCTAGTCCTGAGTCCAACACTATCTGCAGCTCCCATCTAGCCACCCAGACCATCGGACTCTAATGGACTCTATCCACCATGTCTGATGTCTTATGTTTGAATACCAGCATCAAATTATAGCTCCTCATATCTTCAGGTAGATTGGATCCTATTCCTAGAATCAAGTTTGACAGCGAATATTTTGATTCAAAAGTTTTGTTAGTAGAATGCAAGCTCCTTGAAGGCGGCAGGTACTAGTTTTTGTTTTGTCTTTCTGTCTCTCACCCATCTTATGCCCAAGGGACTATGAATTCCAGTCTCCTGTTCTATAGTTAAGATGCAGGATTTTAGGATCCTAGGTTTAGGACTGGAAAGGTTTTCAGAAGCAGGAGATGAGGAAATGCAGTTCATCCTTTTGTCAACATAGGTAGCTGGTGGCTCAGTGGATAGAGCACTGGGCCCAGAGATAGGAAAACCTGAGTTCAAATCTAGCCTCAGATACTGCCTAGCTGGGTGACCCTGGGCAAGTCACTTAACCTCTGATTTGCCTGACAAAATGGATCCACTGGAGTAGGAAATGACAAACCACTCTACCACCTTTGCCAAGAAACCCCAAAAAGGGTCATGAAGGGTTGGACACAACTGAACAACAGCAGCACACTCTTACATGCACTTCTTGTTTCCCAGTTGTCACTCCTGAAGTGTGCCGTAGTCCCACAAGCACCAAAGACATAAGAATAAAGGGAGACAAAGATTGTTACTACTGCCTGCCCCCACTGATCGTTATAGGGAAGGGACGGATGACAATAGTGTCCCCACCTCAAGTCTTGAGTAAGAAGGTGGATAATGTGGGCATAGGGCCATGTTGGAGGGATGGGAGAAGAGAAAGGAGTCCTAAAATAAAGCTTGACTTGGCTCTGCTAATGCATAGACAATCGATGCCTAGCACATGGTAGGCATTCAATAGATGTTTGATGATGGTGGGGAGATACATATCCCATATAGCTGGCAGTGAAAAGTTAAAATAGGATAAACAATAGCTTGAAATTCTTCAGATTAACCACCCTGAAGAGTCCGTTCCTTGGACACCTCAATCATTGACCTCTTCCAGTGGAGACTGGACCACCAATTGTGTTGGATACGGTAGTATCCTTCAGGTAGGGAGGGATTGGGTCATAGTTCTAGAGCAAGAAGAAACCTTGGACATCTAGTCAGATTCTTGTTTTACAGATGAGGAAACGGATCAAGAAAGGTGGTTATTTGCCCGAGAGGGGCAATCTCCAAAGTCATATCCAACTCTTAAACATTCTGTGACTCCAGTGCCAGACTTCCATCTAGAATTCTTAATCTGTGATCCATAGATCTACTGTCTCTCTAATATCCATGGATAGATTTGGGAGGGCCAGTGAACTTGGATGGGGAAAAATATATCTTTATTTTTGATAACTTCAAACTAAAATTTACCATTTCCTTCAGTTAGGACCATATTAGGCTTCAAAAGGGTCCATGACACACAAAAAAAGGTTAGGAACCCCAATGTAGAGAAATATTTCATCTTTTCATATCACCACAGCACCCATTTCTGTGAGATCCACAAGTCAAGAAGCACCTCTCCTGGATTTTTTTTCCATGTAGGTCACTAGATGGTGAGATGATAAGAGCCATGGGCCTGAAGTCAAAAAGACCTGAGTTCAAATCCAGTCCTCAGACATTTCCTAGCTGGGTGACCATGGGCAAGTCACTTAACCTCTGTTTGCCTCAGTTTCTTCAACTGTAAAATGGGAAATAATAACAGCACCTACTTTGCATGGTTTTGTAAGGATCAAATGAAATAGTATTTTTAAAACATTTAATTAACACAGTTCCTGACACAGAAGAGGCACTCTATAAATGCTTATTCTCCTTCCTCACCCCTAAATGAAGCAGAGACTACTAATTCATCTCTCTTGCTTGCATGACCACAACGCTAGCTGTTTGAAAAATAAAATAAAATTTCTCTTTTTTCCCTAAGAATGACTTCTGTCATTTATAAACCAGCTCACCTGTAAAGATGAAGTAGGTGGAATTTGTATTCTGTTCATGAGTTCTACTACAAATGCAGCAGTTTCTCTGATATAGAGGATGCTGTTATCACAATTAAGTGGAATACATGGGAGTCAGAGTGGTAAAGCAGAAATAGATCTGAGGCCCTTAACTAGACTCTGGCATCGGCTCGGATTTTCGATTTTCAGCAAGTTACTTAACCTCTAATTTCATCATTAATACATTAATACCTTTCCAAAGTCACCAGTGACTACTTAATTAGCAAATATTTTGGCCTTTTCTCGATCATCCTTCTTGACCTCTCTGCAGCACTGAGAAGGTTGAGCACCTTTTCTTTCTGTATATTCTCTCCCTCTGTTTTCTCAATTGAGATCTCACTGTGGCAAAGCAATCCTTTCATATATCCCTAACTGATTCACTATCACACTCACTATAGCAATTTTTCCAAAGCTTTCTCTTCCTCCTCAAGCCTCCCAGTGCTCCCCCTCCCCCTACCATCTCAACTGAGAATCTTGTTTCACGTTTTCATTGAAAAAATTGAAGCCAGGGCAGCTAGGTGGCACCAGCCCTGGAATCAGGGGGACCAGAGCTCAAAGCTGGCTTCAGACATTTACTAGCTGTGGGACCCTGGGCAAGTCACTTAACCCCAATTGCTGAAAAAAAAAGAAAAAAAAAAATTGAAGCCATTTACTAAGAGCTCCTTCCTCATCTCACACCACTCAGATACCTTCTCTGTCTCCTCTATCTCATCCTCTGCCTCCGCTATCTCCTCTCTCACCCCCATCTCACATGAGGAGGTAGGTGGCCCTTCTTGCCAAGGCACATCTTTCTACATACACGAGCGATTTCATTCTATACAATCTTATATTTCATTCTATACAGTCCCCTGTATCATCCCCACTATCTCACTAATCTTCAGTCTCTCTATTGGCTCCTTCCCTATAGTCTAAAAACACCCGTATGTCCCCCATCCTAAAAAAAAAACAAAACCCAACTTTACCTGATCCATCCATCCCCACTAGTTATTATCCCATGTCTTTCCTCCCTTCCATGGATAAACTTGGAAAGGATGTCTGCAATCAGTGCCATCCTTTCCTTTCCTCTCACTACCTTCTTAACTCTGAAGTCTGGCTTCCCACCTCATACATAGTTCAACTGAACTGCTCTATTCAAGATTACCAATGGTCTCTTAGTTGCCAAATCTAATGACTGTTAATGGATTTGTCAGTCCTTATCCTTCCCTCCGTGGTGTCCCTTCTGCCTTTGATATTCCTTGCTGCTCCTTTCCAGGTCCCCCATCTGACCCCTCCTTCTTAATCTGCTTTGCTGGATTTTTATCTAGGTCATGCCTGCTATCTGTGGGTTGTCCCCCCAGCGCTCTGTCCTGGACCTTCTTCTCTTCTCCCTCTATACTCTTTTATTTGGTGCTGTCAGGTCCCATAGATGTCATTATTGTCTCTATCCAGGTGATTCTCAGATCTACTTGTCCAACCCTGCCCCCTCCCCTCATTCAACTTCTCTGTTAGAGCCAAGGGTACCACCATCGTTGGTCATCCAGGCTTATGACCTAGGTGTTATCTTTGCTTACTCCCTCTCTCCCACCCCCATAGCCAATCAGTTGCTAAGGCTAATCAGTTCTACAAATCCTTCCTTTATAATCTGACATTACCCTGGTGTAGGCCCTCTTCACCTCACACACTACTCTTCTGATTGGCCTCTCCCCACTCCAGTCCATTCTCTGATCAACCATCAAACTGATCTTCTTAAAGCTCTGGTCTAACTATATAATCCCCCTATTCAATAAACTACAGTGGCTCCCTATTGCCTCCAGGATCAAATATAAGATC